CTCCTGCTTGTGCAAATGTCGGTTAATACTGGTGGAAATACCGGCAGACTAATTTGTCCCATTTTTTCCTTTTACCCATGTCTGTCTGTCTGTCTGTCTGTCTGTCTGTCTGTCTGTCTGTCTGTCTGTCTGTCTGTCTGTCTGTCTGTCTGTCTGTCTGTCTGTCTGTCCGTCCGTCCGTCCGTCCGTCCGTCCGTCCGTCCGTCCGTCCGTCCGTCCGTCCGTCCGTCCGTCCGTCCGTCCGTCCGTCCGTTCGCCCGCCCGCCCGCCCGTCCGTCCGTCTGTCTAAAGTTCGTTCGTTCGTTCTGTCCGTCCGTCCGTCCGTCTGTCTGTCTGGCTGTCTGTCTGGCTGTCTGTCTGTCTTTAAGCCTGATTCTACATACATATACGTGCATAAGTTAGGATCGAGGTGTGATTACGTCTCATGTTTAATTAAGATTTGGCAGGTAACAGTGACGCTGGGGAGAATAACTTGCATACTTACTTTGCTTGGGCAGACTTCAAGATTTTGCGAGGACTGACAGGTTTTTCACTGGTTATCAAATGGGGGAGTTAATGACATTATGTATGATTTTCAGTGACACCGGAACGGACAGAAACGCAACCCATCAGCAAGGATGTTAGAACCAGTGTTGCCACTTTTCTTTACAAAAAACATCCAAAACAGAGTCAAAAATTATCTAAAAACATCTAAATTTGCGTGGAAAACATTTAGAAAAAACATTCAAAGGGAAAGAGTCACAAATTACATAGCAATTGATAAGACTTACCCTATAGAATCATGTCCTCTTCTTCACTGAAGTCTGCCTTACAAGATCTACAGGATAAGCTTAGCTTGGATGATGAAGTTGAAGCTTCAGATCCAAAATGACTGGTATGCTTTAGCTGTTCCAATTTCTTTTAATACGCAGTCAGGAAGCTCATAAGTGGAACAGCTTTTTCCTACTCTTATCAGGCCGAATTTTATTGACAAGATAGCATTTAAGATGTCAAATTTAATTCTGTTTCTTAGGTTTAGATTTGATAAATTCACTGCAAATGAAAAAACCTCTAGAAAAACATCTACCATCTAAACGTCAAAAAGGCCATCTAAATGCAAGGGAAGCATCTAAATCTGGATGGCAACACTAGTTAGAACCTCGAATAACAACAGACTGATTGTGCGATGAAAACAGTGATAAACGAACCACAAATCATTGTCCTTGAATTACACACATCCACACATCTCGAATCAGGTGATATAGTAAATTGTTATGGCAAAGACGCTGATAAACAACGCGCGGATTGATGTGATCCGTACAGATTTCAAACTACACGTTCATTTTGTTCGCAGAAAGATTGTTATGCTACTAACTGATTAACATAGATATTGACGGACTACTACAAATATGCGACTAACACGTAGGTCAGACTACACGTTGATGCGAATAACTTACAGGTGGGCCGAATCGGGATATTCTGAAGATCTTCAGTGCGAACGCTTAGAGTGATCTGCACCTGAAAGACGGCTTTTAGGGTTCTAAATTCTTTAACACTGGGGGCGTTCGAGATTCGGGAATCCTTTACTTGCAAATCTCTCAAGTTAATTTATGCTACAGTCTGCAACGTCTTGTATAGAGACAACTGGAAATTAAGTTAGCGTATGGTTTACCTAAACATCTTATAGACTTGCGTAAAGTAGCTGCTAAGCCATTGTCAGTTGTAACAACACTGACCATAGAGGCGAATATGGCATTTTTATCAGTGCCATACAATCTTGTTTCGGCGATCATACCACCCGCCTCTTCTTAGAAAATTTCCAAATTCCTAGTTTATTCGTCCATAACCTCCCAGGCATTTCTTTTTCTAATGTAATCATTGTAAAATTTAAATAATTAATATTATTTTTATGAGCTGCCAATCCACGTATTTTTCTCTTTCCCTATTGCCCTGATCATCCTTCATCCTTATATTCAATTGTTTTTTTTTTACACTTTTTGCTGTTCTCAACTGAGGTATTTATGTTCCGTTACTTTCTCTTCACACATTCATTTTATTTGTGTGTTTTTGGTGTTTTTTTCCCCTTATTGAACGCCCGTGGATTTATTCTTAAAACTTTAATCGAAACGCTCAGTTTCATTTGTGACCGCCTTTCGTTTCGCTTCCTGATCATGTTTTCTATTCTGTTCATTTAGTCACTCGATCCAGTTATAATATAAAATCTTCCCAATAACGAAGCCCTAGAATATTATTTAAGATTCTTAAAAGACCTTCCCCAAAATTAAGCCATAGAAGATTGTTCAGGTTTTTTAAAAATAATATAAGGCATACCCCGAATATAAGCCCTAATTAAGATCGTCAGCCATTCAAGGTCCATAGACATCACGAGAATGGAGATAAATCGGCATGGAAACTTTGTGGAGCCTAGTTTTCCGGATGCGGTTACTTCTGTTTTCCGATACCGAAATTAACGCCACTAGTTAGTCTGTGTAAAATAAACTAATTAAAATTCCGCTAACATTTAGCTAATGATAATTCAACTAGTAGTCTATGCTTGGTAGGACAAAATGCATGCTACAAATATCAATTTTAAAAAACCTGGCTATGTAAAGTGAACTAATAGGAAAACTTATGTTGGTCTGTATAATAATGACATATGAAGTTACTATGGTGGTTTTTGTGAAGTAAACACATTTTAATGTTTATAGTAGTCTATGTAAAGTTAGATAATATTAAACTTATTAGTAGTATTTTTTTTTTTAATATCCAGAAACCATAAGTTGTTAACCTGTTGGCTCTGTTCTTTGGAAATCGCAACCCTTCGGCCTTGATTCCATGATAGCTACCGTAAATCTGGGAGGGATATGGCTTTTCTGCCAATCCCTGGGCGTAAACCCGGAGCACGAGGAGTTTCTCAACCGGTCGCCGCAAAGTCAGGTTTAACCAACTGCGCTAGCGTTCCGGACAAGTAGTGTATATAAATTAAGTCAGAATGAATTTTTACTTGAAGTTCGTGTTAAAGTAAAATACTGTCAATACTACTATTCGCCCGTGTTGAAAAACCTAATTTAAATTCTACTATCACTTTGTTTACAGTACATTTTTTTAAAATCTTACTCTCTTGTATCAGTTAAGTTTAGTGCTACAATTGCCTGTTTAAAAAAAATTTGTAACATTGGTGGCTGTAAATTTTTTAAATTTAAAAACACAGTATTTCCAAATATTATTCTCAATAGCTAATGTGGCATAATGTTTATACCGCTTATCTTCCAGAGTATGTTCCTTCTCCTCCTCCTCCTCCTCCTCCTCCACCTCGCGTTCACAGGCTGTAAATTCCTGGTGGAAAGTTCTGGTTGTTGGTTCACTTGAGGACTTTGGTCTTGATTCAGAACTTGAGTTTTGGGTGCACATCCGTTTGAGAGATCTGCTTTATCTGTATACAAACTCTTGGTTCCTTGCCTCAAAAGCGGACGGACTCCGACTTCGAAGGAAACGCCCCTAATTAGTCGCCTTTAAAGACATGCTTGTAAATGGGGCAGTAGATCTATTCTCCCCCCCCCCCTACCCCAACATACCTCCAGATAGGGCTCCAGAACCCACACGTGGAAGACATTTTTTTTAAATCCTGCTATTCGATGTTTTTTTCTGCGTTGTGTTTCCTGGGGAATAGCAGCAACGATAGAGTTTTGGCTAGGCGCTTGCTTGTAGCCCTCAAGTTTTGGGGTCCAGTCTGCATTGAAAACGATTATATAAAAAAAAAAAAATATCTACGCTTGACTCAGCTTTAAACGGGTCCCAGGAAATATTGTGGAAATGAAGGCGATCTTGCTCAGGATAAAACGGAATGGCAGAATAACCGTCAGTGCAGTTGTATGGGTACGGCAGCACAGAAGGGTGATGGTGGTGATGAAAATAGACGACGTCATTTAACAGCACATACCAAGTCTCCATTGGTCTTTAAACCCGGGGAGGGGGGGGGGGGATAAAAACCGGTGTAGCTTCACAAGCCAAATGCGATATTGTCATTTAAGAAATCTCGTACTTTTCCTTTGTTGGTGATTTTATTTATGGGCAACCAGTGTCTGCATTGCATTTTATATATCTTTGCCATTTTTTTTTGTTTAAACGCCTTCTTTACTTATTTCGGGGCCTTCCGGTCTAAAATGGAGGATTGGACACGGCAGAATGTTTTGCTTCAAATATATTTTTGCTCCTGGCAGTGCTTTGCTAATGCAGTTTCCACAAATGGACGGTTGTCGATAGTTTCGCTGCCTGAGCCACTCAGTTTAGTACTTGGTGCAGCCCTATGAGCTGTGTTTTTCGTTTGGAAGCATTTAATTTGTGCAGGTGAAATACCTTATGTAATAATTCTACGTTTGTTTAGCCAACTTATCGTGCCCGACAATGCCAGTCAACGGCAAACTGCATTTCTGGTGTCGACCGTTGGCTTTGGCGCCTCTAGCAACTGCCGTATGCATGTACGGCGTGCGCATATTTCTGTATTGTTCCGGGCCAATTGTTTGTTCACCAGTTTTTGAAATGAGACAGTGAGGGACATTTCATTTAATTTGTACTGGCACAGAAACGGAGCCAGTATGGGGAATCCCGATTGTAGTGAAGTTGAAATATCGACTAAGATTAAGACTTATTTCGTTGTTTTTTTTTTTTTTTTTATATGGCTAGCCCTTCATATCTATATCACCCTCCCTCCCCCCCCCCCCTCCCCGCCCTCAACTATTATTTCTGGCTTTCGTGTTGGCCTTAGTTGTTTAGAAACTCTTTCGTCTTGTCCTTTGAGTTTTCCAGTCACATTTTAGGTTGCATTTAGTACTCCGTTGATAAAGACTTTTGTCGAAAGTGATGTTGTATTTGTGTGCGTGTTTTCTCCATTCCCTCCGTTGAACTTTCTAGTAACAGTTTTTGTTGTGTTTAGATCTGCACACTTTCACTTACCTTGTTTTTTTCTTTCATACAGCACTACATGACGTGACCAGGACAGGTTCCACACATACAGGGTAACAATGTATGGCTCTAAACGTGTCGCAGTGCGGGATTTGAACCCGCATATCCTCTGTGCTCTTTGTGGGGGCTATTTGATTCAAGCCACTACAGTCATAGAGTGTTTGCATTCATGTGAGTATTCATTTCTCTAACCATCCTCATAATCATTTTAGATCCCCCCCCCCCCACCCGAGTGGGTTCCGGGGCTCCATTTTGGAGAACCCATTACCCCCCCCCCCTCCCTTTTTTCATTTTCCCGCACAGCAAACATGTCGTAGAAGGCAACTAGTTTTTTTTTTTGGGGGGGGGGGGGGAGGGGAGGTAGCGAAGAAAACTGGTTACCGCTTGGATATATGTGGAAAATGAAGGCGATATTAAAACAGTTGTGAGACTTTTGGCAGGCGAAGAGAGACCGAGCTCTGTGGGATTATACCGGTGTAACGACGTCGGTCCTCTCATCTTTAACCTGCAACACTTTAACTCTTGCAGTGCCAAGCCTGTGATTCTCCAACACTGTCTAACTCTTTATTGTTATTATTATTGTTATTTAGTTGTTACTGGTAATTCTAGAATAGTCTTTGAGGAATGATGGGTTTAAATAGTACAACGTATAAGACAGATGGTTATTGTAACAGTTGGGTAACAATAGAATGCCTTTACAGAAGTTAGACACAGCTGTTGAGCAGTGTATACAATGTTTATAGTGATCAATGCCCTGCTCTCTAGCGTAGTTGGCTAAACCAGATTGCGCGGTGACCCGGTGACGAACTTCTTGTGGTCCGGGTTCACTCTCGGGGGTAGGCAGAAAAGCCACATTTCTCCCATATTTACGGTATTTACAATGGAATCAAGAACGAAAGGTTGCGATATCCATAATACCGAGCCTAGGGGTTAACAACTCATGGCTTCTGGATACTAAAACAAACATAGTAATCAATGAATGTATTGTGTGACACCAAGTACTGTCAGTAGTATAATACAATAGCAAATTGTTCACTAGAGCGCAGGAAATATGAATTCCTAACGATACAGTTAACTAAATGTAGGTTCAACGATATATGTCTGGGAGAGGTGGCCAAAATATCACACTCCCCTTTTGGAAGGATGGGGCAAATCTGGAAATCCAACAATTACTGCAGAGGAACGAAACTCCGACTCTACAAGAGCATCATTTTGCCAGTTTTTCTTTATGGAGCGTAATGCTCGAGAATTAGCAGAAAGGATGCACACAAGATGCCCACCTTCCACCACACATGTCTACGTAGAATTATCAAAATTTTCTGGCCAGATACAATCTCAAACACTAAACTACTTCAGGCCACCAACCAAGAAACTTTAGACAGTATGATTACCAAGAGAAGATGGAAATGGCTTGCCCACGTTATGAGAATGACTTCTGATATACCTGCCAAAACAGCTCTCACATGGACACCAGAGGGAAAGGGAAAACAGGGGCGCCCAAAAACAACATGGAGACGAACGATGGAAAGTGACCTGAGTGCGGCATCTTTGACATGGAAAACTGCACTGAAGATTGCACAGGACAGGAAAGCATGGAAAGTCCTCCCTGAAGCCTCATGTGCCACTAGGCATAACGAGAACTGAGAGAGTGAGAGAGGTGGCCAAAATATCACCCCCCCCCCCCGGCCCCTTTTTTTCAACCTCCTTTACACATAAAAATGTCACTATAGAGCAGAAGCTCTCAAACCGTGTATCGCGGCGATAACCAAGAACTTTTCCGAATCTACTTGAGATCAGCAAAGACAACAATTTAAACACAGAAATACCATGAAGGGAGCCAAGAAGAGTTCTGGGTGAAGGTGTTATTCAGAAAACAATGCTTGGCAAGGTTGCAGTGCATTCTCAACGTTCGCTTACAGTTAAAGACAGATACAGGAGCAACCTTCACGTGATTTTAGGGTACAATTAACTAAACGTCCCATAAAAAAACAAATAATGAACAATTCACCCAAACAGTTTTATTCATCGCATTAAAGACTACTGACCGTTAAATTTGCACTGGTTCCCCCCTAAGTATTCAAGCCGCTTTAAGGATAAGTGGCCGCATTATTAATTTCTTTCACCCGAGAAGGCCGCGTCGAAAAACGTTTGAGAAGCGCTGGTAGAGGATGAGAATTCAACGTAAAGAACCAATTATTTCAGTAAAAGGAGCCTTTTCCACGCCATGAGTCGTATTGGGAATATAGGACTAGACCTATATTTTTGTAGACCAGTCGGCACTTGGTGGGTGATGTGGTCAGCATCAAGCCGGCCGCCTTTACTTTCCAGGACTGCAGCTGGTACCCACTCAAGGCTGGGTCGACCTGGGAAATAATGTCACTAAAATGTGTAAGTAGAAATAACAGAAGTGAAGACAGCGCAGTATTCGCAATTTAGAATCACGAAAAACATGATTGTTTAATCTACACGGTCATAAATAGCAAACAAGTATCACACTGCGCGACCGTATAACACTAACATCCATTTTCAGAAATAACAAAAAGGCACTTTTAACGCAACTGATTTTAACAGGTTATTAACAGGTTATTCCTGGTTAAAATAAATGCACTACCAGATGGTGTTAACGCTGTTGAGATTGATTTCTTTTGTCCATTTTCTGCTTTGTGTCTATAGGAGACTCACGGAGAGTCGATTTCCGAGCTAGGGCACACTCGGTTGCTCCGTATTCCGTGATGTTGTGGAGTCTCAAGATATCAGTCAGTCCTTCAATCCTTCTTCTTTGTCGTCCCCTGTCTATTGGTGTTTCTACTTCTTTGTTTTACGCTCTCGTTGCTAGCTTTCATATTCATTCTTATTAAATGGCCAAACCATTTCAGTCTTTGTTTTTCATTGAATTTAATTATAGGTGTTTTTCAATAAGTTCTTGTAATTTCTTCGTTTCCCCACATGATCTCATCTAGTTTTTCACGGTCCTTCTCACATCGTTACAAAAGTTTAGATTTGTATTTGAGGAAACTCAAAAAAACAAAAACAAAAAGACGAAACGAATGCATCTAATATATTAAAGTTGACGACCTTTTTCCCCCAATGCAGGCTTGATATTCCTGCCTTTCGTCATGTTATTACCACACCAAAAAACACACAATTTAAGTGTACGAAAGTGAACCATGAGTGATTAGTAAAAACTTTTGTGTAAGTGTAGAGATGCGGTTTTGCAGACGAATGATGAGAACGCCATGGATAGATGAAAATAGTTATGAAACGTCTGAAAAAAAAGAGAGAACTCGCTAAGATAACTGATTACCCGCATGGGAGGGAGACAGTCTACGAGTTGGTCTCTTTGTGAAGCGAGAAAAACTAGATTAGTGATTTAAAAATCGGCATCATAGCACACTGGGCATTCCCGTAGATGCCCCATCTGCGGTAGCAAATGTCTTAAGGCGCAGAGCACAGGTTTATGGTTTAAACAACGGATCCTCATCATGACACAATGGAAGGTGCTAACGGTTTCCTTAGCATACAGATTATGCACACGTTCCTTGCACACGTCCCTTCTTGTGTGATTTCCTCATAATTCCAAGTTAACACATTCGTATACTTGTTATTTCCTCTAACCTTGTGTCTTCTATCAACATTAGTTCACACACAGTCTTCAAAATGTCTTTTGTGTGTGTGTGCGCGCGCGCGCGTACGTGTGTGTATTGTTTAGCCTTTTTCTCCTATGACGTTTACCTGGTCGGTTCCAAAGGGGTGAAAACATTCTAGCTAAATTATGATCCAAATAATTTGTTCATCTTATTATCCCCACCTTTGCATTGACAAGAGTTTGTTTAGTTATCTCCCAAAGCTTCCCTTTAGAAACTACGTCGTTTCATTGTATGCATTTTCTTCGGCGCTGTATCCCTTATCTCCAGCAACATCTGGTGATCCTTAGCTGAATTAACCCTGATGTTGTTATGTTACACAAAAGCCAAAAGTGACATTCAGCAAACAGGTTGTCTGTTGCTGTGAGGAAAATGATATTACCTCTCTTGGTCCCAAGAAGCGCATCCTGTGTGATAAACTCGTTCACATGAATCCCAAACATTACACAGTATGTTCTGTTACTTTTTTCTTCTTCTTCATTTGGCCTTATATAACTAAAGAAAACAGGCATTCCACGTTTCCTGTTTAAAAGTTTTGTGCTCGAAACTTTTCATAGTGGTTGCCTCTCGAATTACGCGATGTTGTGAAACATTTTGAGATCTAAAGAGTCAAGGTGGTATAGAGACCCTCTGTTGTTGTATGCATGTGAGACATGGACAGTAACCAGACAGGCTGAAAAACATTGACTCCGCGAAAATGTGTGGGTTTCCAGAGCATATCATGGACTGGTAGAATACTCGAGAGTCAGTGCTCCTTGAGACGGATGAAAGTCGTTGACTAATTAAGCCTGGTATAGAGGTTAGTGAAAGCGGTTAGCAGTTTCGTAATCCTTGAGCACTATGGTTCTTTTCTTACTGTCTCCAGTTACTGTAGACAGTCATGGTTGGTTCGTCCCCCCGCAGTGGACGGTTAAAATAAAACTGCTTTTGTGGTTTTGGGACAAAAGTACCAGAGTCGCGACTAGAAGAGATGAGGGCCTCACTACATGATATTCCTGAGGACAACAGTGGGCACACTGTAGCCATCTTCGTGTGGGCACCGGTGCCCTATTGTAAGGAAAAACACGAATAGACCTGCTGCCTCCCCAGCATGTTGTAAAAGTCAACTAACTGGGGGCTTCCTTCGAAGTCGGAGTGCATCTGTTTGAAATTCAAGGAACCAACAGAAATAAATAAGTAAGATTTGTAAAACGGATGTGCACGCAACACTCGGGTTTTGCTGCAAGACTTTAATTAAGAGGTGAACGAACAACCGGAACTTTCCGCTGGCGTTTACAGCCGGTGAACATGAAAAAGAAGAAGGAGGAGGATGAGAAGAAGAAGAAGAAGAAGAAGAAGAAGAAGAAGAAGAAGAAGAAGAAGACCGTAGGCAACCTTTGATGTATAGACATCATTTAAAAAATGCATAATAAAACTGATTAGATTAATTAGAGGTAGACAGTGAATGTTTTCCGGACATATTATTAGAAAGGATGGACTCGCTAGAATTTGATAACACCTGGCAGGATTGGTAGAGAGAGAACAAAAGGAAGGCAGAGTATACATCCCGAATGGCTGGGCTATATGGGTGGGGGGGGGTGGGGGGGGGGAGACACTACATGGTCCGTAATTCTGGTGATCGTGTCAGATGGCGAAATATGACAGCCTTACGTCTCTCGGCACGGCACGTGATGATAATGACGAAAAAAGGTTGCCATCGTGGCGCCCTCCCATTCCACTATCTTGGAGTATAAAGCTGTTTTTCTACTCTCTTCCTTACCCTCTCTGTCTCTCTTTCTCGCCTGTTATATGGCTTTCGTTTCTAAGCTCATTCTTCTCTCTCTCTCTCTCTCTCTCTCTCTCTCTCTCTCTCTCTCTCTCTCTCTCTCTCTTTCTGTCTCTCAGGGCCGAATGTCAGACGGGCCTGCGTGCCCAATTTGTAACCCTTTAAAAATAAAGTGTGTTCGTTCGTTCGTTCGTTCTCATTTGTTATCTTTCACCTCTTATATCTCTCATCACTGTGTCACTCACAGTATCACTCGCTCTTTCTGTTTTTCTCCTCCATGTCTTAATTCTCGCCTCATCTTTCTTTATTCTCCCATACCGCTCTCTTCCTCCACTCTCTCTCACTGTTTCATACCCCATATATCTCACTACCTCTATCTCTCTCATTTCTCATCTCTCATATCCTCTCTCTCTCTCTCTCTCTCTCTCTCTCTCTCTCTCTCTCTCTCTCTCTCTCTCTCTCTCTCTCTTGTGCAATCATGTCAGTATCACGTGTCCCCTGCTGCAAGTGTGTTTATATGTGCAGAGTCTGTTCAAGGCACTAGTATGATGATGTTATTGATTTCGACACTATAAGATTATGTTGAACCATTCTATCTCCAGTTTGCCGGTCCTGTATTGTGAACTTCTTGGAAACCAGCAAAGTTTGTCCCATCTGTGATGCCCAGATTCACAAGACAAGACCCCTGCTTAACATCCGGTATGTCTCTGAACCAACGTTTCTGTTTCTGATGAAAGTCTTGTTTTTCACTCTGTGCCGAACAATTGAACAAAGTAACCAATGGAATAGTGCAGTTTTGTATGATTATCTGACAAGGCTTTGGGTAGCCTGCACAGAGAATCGCTGTGGGGGATTTCCCTCCACTATGGCATAACACAGAAAATAGTAAATGTGATCAAAGCGTGACTAGAGTTTCAATGATTTATTCAATATGGCATGTCGTCTGTTTACGTGTGGGCTGGTGAAATATCTTATGTCATTATTTTACGTGTGTATAGCCAGCTTACGGTGACCGATTACTTTCGTCAACGACAAACTGAAGTTCTGGTGGCGACTGGTGGTTTTGGCACCCCTAGCAGCTGCCATATGCATTTACTGCGTACGCAAATTTCTGGATTGTGCCGCTTCTGATTGTTTGTTTAACAGGATTCAAATGGGATAGTGAGAAGCATATCATTTGAGGTTCAGTGGCACATGAACGGAGCAAGTGTGGGTTCATTTGATTGGAGTGAGGTTGAAACCTTGACAGACTAGGACGGATTTCTTAGTATATAAAGTGAAACAGCTCTTTGTTCTGACTTATTTTTGTGTGTGTGAAGCTTATTTACACAGTAGTACTGGATAGTAATTGACAGTTAATTCCTAGTTCTGTTGTTACATTTGTATGTTGTGTCAACGTTTCTCTTGCAAAATGATTTATAGTTTTTTTTCCTTCTGAAAATCCATGTTTAGCAAATTGTTTTGAAGTCGCTTTTAAGCTTTTCAAACTAAGTAAGAAATTTGTTCTGTCTTAGGATGTTTAAAATTGCACCTTGTTATTCATAAGCTCATCTGTTGAACCTCGTATAGGTTTCACACACGTACGTTTTCGCTGCTTCTGGCTCCCCAATATGTTCCATCCAAGTTCTGTTTTCATTACATCCAGTCTTTATATGCTTTTTCATTGGATTGGATTTTTTCCTTCTGAATTTGGCTTCGGAATGAACCTGCTGCGTCTAGTGTACAATATTTAGTCATCTCAGTTCTTTTAATCACATAGAGTATTAACTCTGTAACTCTGCTGTGAGAAACTCCGTATCTGTTTTAACGACTGAAAAATCAGTAAAGCTAAAGTAGTTATCTATTTCAATTCTTTCAGATGGTTGGTACAGAAAGTCTCTTATTTAAAAATACATATCGTGGCTAACTTCTGCCTAAAAGTTTTTGCTCAGGCCAAACTTCCAGTCAGTGTCGAAGTGTCTTCTTTTTCTGCCTTCCCATCCACCGGTGAAGCAAAGGCCCTCAACCAACTCATGCCGTTCTATCCGTCGCCATTACATGGAGCTCTCCCTATGTCCTCCCCATCTTTCTAACTTCATTCTCCAACTCTCTTCTGTTTGTGTTTTTTGGCCTCCCTTCATTTATATGCCCATGTGGGTTCCAATGCAAAGACATTCTAGTTATGCGGTTATCCTGTTTTATTTCAGTGTGTGTCCTATCCAACGCCAGCGTATTTTCCTCACCTCTTGGTCCACCGGAGCCTGATTAGTTCTCTCCCAAAGCTCTACGTTAGTTATTCTATCATATCATTTAATTCCTTCTATTCTGCGCAGACACCAGTTAATGAATGTCTGTAATTTATTAGTAATCATCGCCTTAATTGTTCTCCATTCCCCCCCCCCCCCCCCCCAATACAAAAGTATTGATTTGACCTTAGAATTAAAAATGTCAGGTTTAGTATTTCTTTTAATTTCTTTTGACCTCCACAAATTCCATAGTGCTATGAAATCTGTGTCGAAGTGTGGCACTCTACTAAAGAAAAACATATTCTTTAACCAAAAGGATGCATCTGATTGGTTATAACGTAATGACTGTTTATTTTGCAAATTTAGCAATCTGGACCGTCCCGACGCTTTAGGAAACAATGGACTGCATACTAAGATTTAATCTATTCGAACACTTCTGTTAGCTGAACGACGCCGCCAAGTTGGAAAAAAACACACACACAAAACTGTCGACTTTTAGCGCCATGGAAGAACTAGCAGATGACGTTTAGATACCCCAGATTCATCTGTGGATATACTAGATACTAAGGAGCGTAATCTAATGAGACACTTATGTTTGTTGAACACCGACGCCCATTTTCCAACTAAAAAACCTAGTACACGGAATGCCTAGTTCGAAATAGTTTAGGTGTTTTAATACACAGTGTACTGTTAATGTTAGAACTTACACTTACATGTGCACACTGCAGTGTTTCAAATGTAATATAAAAACAGGTACAATTTTTCCCCCTCAGACCTGACCAGACGTTGCAGAGTCTGGTGTACAAGCTTGTGCCCGGCCTTTTTCAAGGTAGTTCTTACACTTTTGTTTATCATTGATGTGATTTGAAACATACTTCAGCTTTGCTATGTTCTGTTGGGTATTTACGAGAGGATCAGAACGTGAATCCGTCTGTCTGTCAATCCATTTATCAAATCAAAACAAAAAATCCACCACGTTCGACCTACTGTGAGCACTGTCGGCTATAATTGTGGTCTGGTTTTTGTGTGCCAAGTATGTTGGCTAAAAAGTTGTTAATTGCACCACAACTCCTGGCTTGGACCGGTACTTTAGTACCTGAGGATGGCTGTTGGAGAGGGGGCTGGTAATCACCATATACAGATATATATTTGTATTAATTTGCATATATATATATATATATATATATGTATATATACATATATATATATATATATATATATATATATATATATATATATATATATATATATATATACACACACACACATAGATATATACATCTAAACCACACACATAAAGACATGCATGTACCATTACATATAAATGCACGCCGCGTGAAAATGCTTGTATAAGATTTTGCCCTAGACACAGACACACGCACGTATGCACTCTCTCTCTCTCTCTCTCTCTCTCTCTCTCTCTCTCTCTCTCTCTCTCTGAGTAACCGTCTGTTTCTCTTTTGTATGATAGTGTTATACTTTTTCGGGAAGTAATGACAACTGACAGACAGTATACGATGACAGTGGTGTAAATTGTGTGACAATAAAAAGAAGCAGAAAACAGTAAACGAAAAGAAACAAAAGAATCTGGAGGATCGTGGAAGCAAGTGGGATAAAATACTTGAAGCTTATAGAAGCTGAGAGAAAGTGTCAGTCGCTCGAGCAGTGGCTCTCAAACTTTCTAATGCCGCGACCCTTAAATCTAGTTTCTTCATATTGATTGTCTTAATCAACCCATGTGAAATGGTCGTTCGACCCACACACACACAAAAGGTCGCCACCCGCAGGTTGAGAACCGCTGAGCTACGGAATAGTGGTCGTCCTATAGGACAATATTAGTCGCCATATGCGTAGTTGCTAGGAGACCGCTGGGTCGCTAAGGGACAGAACTGAAAGCTGAGAAACATACACGTCTTGTTCATTCCATGATATTTCTTTTATTTCAGATGAAATGCGGAAGCGCAGGGAGTTTCATGCCACATTGCCAGAGAGTAAGTTGCACGACTTCTTCTTTCTTTTGTCAGTATCTGCTTATACCGCTAGGCGTCGCAGTTCATCTGACGATCGGCTGCCAAGCCAGGGCGCAATCGATCGCTTGATATGATATGATGTTTTGCTGTCAGTGACTCCTTCAATCCATCTTCTTCTCGTTCTTCCACTGCCTCTTGATGTTTCGATTTTTAGGTTGTACGCTCTTGCTGCTGGCATCGTTGGTTTTATTCTCATTAAATGATCAAACCATTTCATTCTTTGTTTCTCAGTAAATTTGATGATGGGTGTTGTTCCAAGTTCTTGTGATCATGTCCTTTCTCACTCGATCTCTTCTGATTTTATTTACAGCCATTCTCAAACATCTCATCTCATAGGAGGTTTGTTTTCTTTCATGTTGCACGTACTTACTCTAATTATGTCTACCTTATACTGGTTGCATATGCTAATTATCTTCTAAATACTTAAATCATTATGAACATTCAGTTTAATAATTTCATCCGCGACTTGGAAAAGTACTTCTTTCAGTTCTTTTCTGTTAAGCGACCACATCACGCGAGATTTAGGAACATCCCCATATTAGAGAGAGAGAGAGAGAGAGAGAGAGAGAGAGAGAGAGAGAGAGAGAGAGAGAGAGAGAGAGGAGGGGGGGATTAGGGTTAGTAGTAGTCGCCATTCATTTAACCCAAACCCTAACCTTAACTCCCCTATAAAATGAGATGTCCCTAACTCTCGCGTGATGTGGTCGCTAAACAGAAAAGAACCCTTCTTTCTGTAATGTGTGTTCTTGCAGCCTGATTTACAGGGAATCGCTGAAGCCATAAACGTTATTAACCACTTTTTGCGGCGTAGGTCTTGGAGCCTGAGGACTTAGGGTCGCGTGGCTAGTGCTGTCATTCGGACTCCACAGGTTGATTTTATTTTTGCACCCGATAGAAGGGAAACAAATGCCAGTCTGACCGAGGATTCGAACATAGGTCTCCCGCATGAGAATCCTGCATTGTTAGCAGTTCGGCCAGCCAGTACTCATCAGTGAGGCACCAGTTCAGTACTAGAACTTGCTAGATCATCCATAGTTGTTGATGCAGTCCAACAGCAGATAATCACTATGTCGACAACAGTTTAGTCTGTATTAAAATAATGCTGGCGCAAACAGTACATTGCACAATCTATCTTGTTCTTCTTCTTTTCTCTACTCCTGCAATGCCTCGCAGCGTCAGGGGAGGAAGAGATCTTTAGAATGGGCCCTTCGGTTTACTTCGCTGACTCTCCTCCTGGTATCGTTCCTAAGTCGATCTTTTCTCGTTACATCTAGCATGGCACGTAAACATTTCCTTTCTGTTCTGACTATTTTACTTCTGGACTCTGAAGACAGTGTCCATGTTTGACATTGATAGCAGAGTGTTGGTGAGAATATTGTATTAAACAGTGTTCTTTTAGGCACAGTGTATTGCTTCTTATATTTTGCTGGATCTCGTCAGATGAATACTACAGGTACATCAGCATATAATGAAGCATAAAAACGAATACTTTCCGCTGAAATACGCGTCACAGACTATATAGATACAGTGTACAACTCACCAGCGGATTTAGTTTGTTTATTCTGCTACACTTTAGGTTGATTTAACCCTGTGGTAATCGCTTCGGAGGGCTCGGGTAGTTAGCATCCTTTGGATATTTTATCCAGATAATGCCGATGTGTTGGGAAACGAGCAGGCAGATAGACTTGCTGGTTCTGCACCACTTGGTGTATCTTCTTCTTCTTCTTCTTTCGTTTACCGGCTGTAAGCTCCGGCGGAAAGTCCAGTGTTCGCTCATTTAGACTTTGGCTTTGCGCCAGGGCCTGAGTTTTGTGTGTACATCCGTTTTATTGACTTATTTGTGTGCAGATGGTTGTTCCTTGCCGCTCAGGCAGACGCTCTCCGACTTCGTAGGAAGTTTCCAGTCAGTCTACTCCTACGACATGCTTGCTGGGAAGGCAGTGGATCTATTAATGTTTTCCTCTCAATGGGAGCCCGGAACCCTCGTGGGGGTATTGATGTATGAACAGCTAGATGTTGTAAGGGCTCTTTGGGAGCAAGTGAACAGTACAAATAGATCATTACTGTCTGAGGCGAATGGCGTTTTGATGAGTTACCAGGGCATCTGGCCGACGCTCAGAACTCAAGGGAAAGGCGAAACGGATGTACAATCAGACAGTTACTGGCACCATCGGAATTGGAACTCTTTGCTTGCTGCTGAAGATGGGGACGAAACGCTTATGGCATTGTCCCGACTGCTATGATGTCTATTCTTAATTCAACATTAATTTTTTTTTTAGTAATGCACCTGGCCGTGCAGACAGTAAAGTGTACAATGAATTGTTTGTGTCCGCATGATTTAAATTCACAGCGGTCTGAAACATCATCTACACTTGCTTCAGCCGTATCACAACCTTTAAGATCAGGCCTGAACGTGAAATGGACGAACGTGCCAGATTTTTTACCCTTCAAAAACAAATTGATTTGTGCAAAGCTAATTGGCATTCTTTAGTTCTTTGACCGGTGCATGTGGAGGTGTCATAGTTTTTCATCTACAGTGGTATCTAGCATACCAATACTTAACCTTTTACCTTGGACTGGTGGTATGAGCTTTTTTATATTTCACTGAAGTGACATTTCTCATATTTATCGGATTCTTTTCAAAGTGATATATTCATCATTGTCATCGTTAGTTTCTATTTTTTGCCTCCAGGTTTCTCTTCTATTTTGGTATTAACCGGCTGTAGACTCTGACAGAAAGCTCTGGTTGTTCATCCACTCCTGGACTTTGGTATTGATCAACAGCTCGACTTTTGCACGCACATCCGTTTTACAGACTTAACTTATTTGAATGCAGACTGTTGGTTCATTGCCTTTCAGGCAACATCCTCTATTTTTTGCTTCTACATTAGGAAAGTTGGAGAGGAAGGTAGAGAAAGACTGAGATAAATATGCTGGACAGTTTGCCATCATGGCATGGGGGATAATCTGTGTCAGAGTTGCTTGAAAGTACACGGGACAGAAGGTTGTGGATGACATGACTACCAACGCCCCACGGCATGGGGGATAATCTGTGTCAGAGTTGCTTGAAAGTACACGGGACAGAAGGTTGTGGGTGTCATGACTACCAACGCCATACGGCGTAAGACTGTAAGAAGAAGAAGTGTGTTCCTGAAACAGCCAGTTACGTTAAAAAAATATAGAGGTGCGGAGGCGACATTGGTGCTTGGGAGACCTTGCTCCCAGAAATTGTGAGCTACCATTATGAAACTGTTTATTTTGATTAATTGGAAATACATTTTGCTTCATTCATGTTTGAAGGTGACCTTGAAGACCTAAGCCTTGAAGAGCGAGGGGAAGCTAGTCTGGAGAAGGAGTTCAAGCCAGGGGATGATCACGTCAGTTTGGTTCTACAGCTAGCGTTCAGGTAACTACTGATATCTCATTTACAGAGTTGGGACATTCTTGGTTCTACGGCTAGCTTTCAGGTAACTACTGATATCTCATCCACAGAGTTAGGAACATTCTTGGTTCTACAGCTAGCGTTCAGGTAACTACTGATATCTCATCAACAGAGTTAGGAACATTCTTGGTTCTACAGCTAGCGCTCAGGTAACTACTGATATCTCATCAACAGAGTTAGGAACATTCTTGGTTCTACAGCTAGCGCTCAGGTAACTACTGATATCTCATCAACAGAGTTAGGAACATTCTTGGTTCTACAGCTAGCTTTCAGGTAACTACTGATATATCATCCACAGAGTTAGGAACATTCTTGATTATTGTGTTTAATATTTTATTATACCGAGTTTGATCTGCAGGATAAAACTAGAGTATGTGGATATGTTTGTGTGCATTGAAGATGGCAAACAGATATTTCTAAAACAGATCTTTTTTTTTTTTTTTTTTTTTTGCCTTCTGTCTTTTATTCCCTAATAAAGCGTAGGCCCTCAACTGTCTTTCAAACCCCTTTATCCTTTATAATCTCATAAGGTCCTTTCACGTCTTCCCTATAAGCGTCTTCATTTTGTCACTTTCCCGAATGTTTTAGACCTTCTTCTCCTCTCGCTCACTTCCTTTGCCTCTCTCTATTTATGTCTGCCTCTCTCTCTCTCTCTGCCTCTCTCCCCCTCTCTGTCTGTCTGTCTGTCTGTCTGTCTGTCTGTCTGTCTCTCTCTCTGTCTCTCTCTCTCTCTCTCTCTCTCTCTCTCTCTCTCTCTCTCTCTCTCTCTCTCTCTCTCTCTCTCTCTCTCTCTCTCAATCAGTCACAGAAGTTAGAAGAAGAAAAATAACTGTACGTTTCCCTAACAAGTCCAACTGAAACTAGTCAAGTTACACATACTGAAACACAAGCTGACGTTTTTGCACTGGTCTGGCTGGAGTGTGCGAAAGTCGGTTATACTCACAACCAGAATAGCCGGGAGAACTCAACCAGTCACAGACAAGAGTCTGCCCGTATTCTGCAGCTTTTTAGCAGACGACACTGGCTTACGCAGTCCTGCACGCCCATCTACTGGACGTTATGTTGCCAAGGCAACAACACTGACAACATTGACACAGCTGTCCTGACGAGATGTGTGTATGGACATGACATATGTGTGTGTTTTCATTTGCCAGGTGTTATTTTAAAATTGCTTTCACTTAGATCTCATCACCAGTCATGCCAATACCGAGAACATCTTGGAAAGTGGGAGGGGGTGGGGGTTTTCACCACAATGTCTGAAGCTGAAAACAGTACATTCCGTTAATTATTGGAGCTGAATACCATGAGATTCTATTACTATTTTGAAAACTGGACATCCCAAGCCAATAAGTTGGTATTTTGGCTGTATAGTATTATTTGTATGCCTTATGTACACTCCTGCTCCTCCATTTCTGCTGGCGTTTTGTGCTGACCCATTCGTGTTGACGCAAACCCAAAGATCCTGTGGGTATTCATCATTAAGGAGACTGAGGGTGACTGTTTTACGCTGCACACTGTTTTGTTCTTCCTTGCTTTTTTTTTTTTAATGTATATTATGAACAGTAAAAAGGGTGGGTGGTGGAGATAACAGAAAACTGAAGAGTGCTTGAACTGTACTGAACAGAATGAATTTCCTGCAGGTGCCAAAAGGGAACAGGAAGATTTGGGATATACATGTTTTTTTTTTTTTTAACTTTGACAATTAAGTTTTTTCATGAATTTGACATGTTTACTTTTCTTTTTCTCATTTTTTTTCTATGTCATCCTTTCTAATTCTGTTTCTAGGGAAAGCAAAAGCAAACCATTTGAGGTAAGTTAGAAACGTTTTAATTCCATTATGGTTTTTGTAATTGAAACTGTAGACATACTTAATTTTGCTTATATCCTATAAATAAATAAATATATATATATATATATATATATATATATATATATATATATATATATATATATATATATATATATATATATATATACACACACACACACATATACACACACACTTACATGTATATATGTGAATGCTGGTAAAATCTCAGTATATTTCAACTTCTTGATCAGTATTAATTTTTTTGACAAAAGTCTATAATTTTAAGAGTTTGTAAGCTTGGATGTTTCTTTATTTAGTAATTGAGAACTGTTCGTGAGAGCAAGCATGATTTACTGTAAATTATTCGTCTATTGTAGAAATTCAAGCAATAGTTACGCATCATCTTTTTCCCTTTCTCCTCCTCCTCATCTTTTAACTCCTCTTCTTCTTTTTCTCAGCCACCACCTCCTCCTCCGTCTCCCCCGTTCTTCTTCTTCTTCTTCTTCTTCTTCTTCTTCTTCTTCTTCTTCTTCTTCTTCTTCTTCTTCTTCTTCTTCTTCTTCTTCTTCTTCTTCTTCTTTTTCTTCTTCTTCTTCTTCATCTTCCTCCACCTTCTTCTTCTTCTTTTTCTTCTTCTCCTCCTCCTTCTTATTCTTCTTTTTCTTCTTCTTCCTCTTCCTCTTCTTCTTCTTCTTTTTCTTCTTCTTCTTCTTCTCCCTCCTCTTCCTCTTCTTCTTTTTCTTCTGCTTCTTCTTCTTCTGCTTCTTTTCTCCTTTCCATTTATTCCCTGTTAGAGGATAAGCTGTCAATTGACTCACACCATGTCACATCTTTTGCCGTCACACAGCTCATCCCACTTCCTACCAGTCTTTGTAATTTCACCCTCTATTCACCATGTGGAGGGAGGGGGTGTCTGCCTTTATTCCTTTGACCCTGTCGATTCTTGTGCAAAGACATTCTGAGTATATAGTTATGTGGTTTGTTCCAATCTAATATGTATTTATGTATGTGCAGATTCGAGATCGCCGCTACCTGCTGTGCCCATCAGAGGTCACAGTTCACCACTTAAAGAAGTTCATCAGGATAAAGTTCCACTTGAGTGACAGTTACAAGGTTGGTAGTCAGGCTACACATTTTACTGTGAGGCCTGCAGTCAGAGTGAGCAAGAGATCATGGCCAAGCTTCTCACGTTACCATGGTTTCGTCTCCACAGGTTCCCGTGTGGGTTCGGGGGCCTGATCGAGGAAAACAAGAATAGGCCCACTGCCTCCCGAGAACAAGCACGGCTTCCTGGGAAGTCGGAGTGAATATAACTGAGAGGCATGAAACCAACAACCTACAAACAGTTCAGTCAGATTTGTAAAATGGATGCGCACGCAACATTCAGATTCTGGGACAAGACTAAAGTCCAGAGGTTTACGAACAACTAAAACTTTCCACCAGTTTACAGCCAGTTAAGATGAAGAATTCTCTCATGATTGTTCTCTTTTTGCAGTTAAAATGGGCAAGATGTAGTGGACAGGGTTTTGTTTAGCTAGTGTCTTTGTGTGGGTTCGGAAGTCCCTTGGGGGTTCAGTGAATAATCCACTTCGCCTACAAAGCATGTCCTAAAAGTCGACTAATTAGTAATGTTTCTTCAAAGTCGCCGTACGTCTGTCTGAGTGGCAAGGAACTAACAGTCTGCATATAAATAAGCCAGATCTCTAAAATGGATGTACATGCAAAAATCAAGTTCTAGATGAAGACTGAAGACCAGATTGTGATGAACAACTAGAACTTTCCAGTGGAGTTTACATTCAGTGTTCTTTTCATTAGGTTTAAACAACAAATCAACATCATAGTACAAGGGTAGTAATCCATAAGTGTTATGTTCTACTGCTAACTCAAGTCTGAGTCTGAAGAATCTCAGCGCACTGCACAAACTTTTCATTAAAACTACTGAATATACATTTTAAGGTAAACGTCAGTATACTAAATTAAGACTTTTATGTTGTTTTGTTTTTTTTTACTCATTTGCTATGTTTTTAGTTTATGTTCATTTCCTAATTGCTGCAGTAACATATAAATCCATACCACAGTCACATTCAGTGACAAGTGACCTGCTGCCAGATCTCCTGCAGATGACTTTGAACGCCATAATGCTGGTATCATGAAACTATTCACAACCCTAACCTGCGGATGACATTTAAAAAAAAAATATTGCCTTCTCCACAGTTAATCTTGGCTGTAGCGTATCCACTTCTCTCTGCAGGAATATGGCATGGCGAGGCCTCAATCTTTTCCACAGTGTTATTCTCATATCATTTTCTGAAAGCCATAAAAACTGCCTGCTGCAGGAATTCATCCATAGAAATGGTCATCGAGGACATGACTTTAAAGACAGCTATAAGAAAAAGACAAACTGTGTTCTTTGGTCATCCGGGTAGAAGAGAGGCATTCAAAAATACTATAATGACAGAAAACATTACTGGTAGAAGTGACATAGACTAGTTAAGAGAAATGATGCCAAAAGATTTAACATAGTGGCATTTATGTCATCAGTAGAACTGGTTCATGGCCATTGTGTGGGTTCTTGAAACCCCCTTTGGGGGGGGGGGGGGGGGGGAAGGAGACCCAGTCCCACTAACAAACAAAATGCTAGCTGTTTGTCCTCCCAGCATTTTTTGGCTGTCCGTGGTTTCACTAGGCTTTGTTTTTTTCCACTAGTTTACGTTGTTTTCTAAACGGTCAGCTCTCAATACCACTGTTGAAACTAATACATGGCGGTCTGCTGCCAAATGGCCAGCAGCTGTGGTTCAACCACGGAATGCGTTGAGTCGAAAGATGCAAATATTGCAGCCTAGCTGTGAACCACGATGTGCCAGCCATGATGAGAAAACTGAGTCACTGACCTCCGTGAAGATGGACACAAGACATGAAAGATGTGTTGGCTATAAAAGCACATGGGGCTGGAAACATTGGCTAGAGAAAGAGAGACTTTCAGATGTGCCTTGAAGAGAGCGACATTATTTGGGAGACCTGCTGAATAATGTTGATGGCTGTCTTGAAAGACAATCACATTAATCACTATGCCAGTGTCGCAAACAATCACATTAATCACTATGCCAGTGTAGCAAACAATCACATTAATCACTATGCCAGTGTAGCAAACAATCACATTAATCACTATGCCAGTGTAGCAAACAATCACATTAATCACTATGCCAGTGTAGCAAACAATCACAATAATCACTATGCCAGTGTAGCAAACAATCACATTAATCATTATGCCAGTGTAGCAAACAATCACATTAATCACTATGCCAGTGTAGCAAACAATCACATTAATCGCTATGCCAGTGTAGCAAACGATCACATTAATCACTATGCCAGTGTAGCAAACAATCACATTAATCGCTATGCCAGTGTAGCAAACAATCACATTAATCACTATGCCAATGTAGCAAACAATCACATTAATCACTATGCCAGTGTAGCAAACAATCACATTAATCACTATGCCAGTGTAGCAAACAATCACATTAATCACTATGCCAGTGTAGCAAACAATCACATTAATCACTATGCCAGTGTAGCAAACAATCACATTAATCACTATGCCAGTGTAGTAAACAATCACTTTAATCACTATGCCAGTGTAGCAAACAATCACATTAATCACTATGCCAGTGTAGCTGATAGATTATTATATCTTCTTCTTCCTCTCAAAGTCCATGCCATGGGACATTGGTAGTCTTGTCTGTCCACAAACTTCTGTCTCGTGCACTTTCAGTCAACTCTAACACAGATGATCCTCCAAGTCATGTCGTCAGACTGTCCAGCATCTTTTCTCTTGTCTTCCTCTGCCTCTCCTTTCATGAAACTTTCCTACCGTAACAATGAACTCCCTTTTTCATCTTCTCAACACATGACCAAAGAATACAGACTGTCTCTTTCTGATGTGGGCAGTCAGTTTTCTTTGTGAGTCAGTTTCTTTCAAGAAATTGCATTCTCATTTCTCTTTTTATCTGTCGAGGGAATTCTCATCATTCGTCTATGAAACCACCTCTGTAGCTTCCAAATAATTTTTTACAAATCTACCAACTGTCCATGATTCACTTTTATATATTATACCTTATCTTAGCAGTTTATAAAGATTGTTAAGCTATTAACAATTTTGTTCAGAAATTAATTTTTGCATGATGAGAGCAATTGACATGTTTGTGTTCATTGTCTATATCCAGATTGAAATGTACAGGGCTAGAGAGGAGCTGTCTGATGACCTCATGTTACAGGACATAGCTTTGATCTACTCTTGGCGTGGTGTAAGTACTTCTAATTCATTGTTCGATCTGCTCATTGACCTCATGTTACAGGACATAGCTTTGATCTACTTATGGCATTGTGTAAGTACTTCTAATTCATTGTTCGATCTGCTCATTGACCTCATGTTACAGGACATAGCTTTGATCTACTCTTGGCGTAGTGTAAGCACTTCTCATTCATTGTTCTATCTGCTCATGGACCTCATGTTACAGGACATACTTTGATCTACTCTTGGTGTGGTGTAAGTACTTCTAATTCATTGTTCTATCTGCTCATGGACCTCATGTTACAGGACATAGCTTTGATCTACTCTTGGTGTGGTGTAAGTACTTCTAATTCATTGTTCTATCTGCTTATTTACCTCATGTTACAGGACATAGCTTTGATCTACTCTTGGCATGATGTAAGTACTTCTAATTCCTTGTTCTGTCTGCTTATTGCCTTTTGTCTACTGGAATAGTGTTGAAGTGGTGACATCATCATCATTGCCATACTGTTGTGTCCTTATATATCACACAAGGTCCACAGTGTAATGTTCTGTTCTGTTCTGTTCTGCTCTATGCATTCCTTTTGATATCATGGAGGAAATCTAGTTTCTCAGCAGTGTTCATTTATGGTTTCTGTTGGATGCCCTCATTTCTTCAAAAAAGTTGTTTCCTTGTTTCATCGCCCATTTGATGATTCTCTGCCTCGGCTCATGATGTGACCATTGCCATCTTCTTTTTCTTCGTTGGCCTGCAGTTAGCGGCTGTATTTACCACTTACACTTTCCATTGCCAAAGTATGCATTATTTTACTATTTTAATTAATTTTTTTCCTTTTATTACAAATATGCCATTTTGTTTAGGTTTTGAACATAGTAAAACTAACAGTTGCTGCTTGCTTACTCCACTCATGTGAAAACTAACAGTTACTAGTACTGCTATGCTTGCTGCACAGGTATACTCTGAACAGCAAATCTAGTGAAACACTCCAGTGTAATTGTTGCCGGTAACTCTTACGCAGGCACCGTCCAGTTTTTCTTATAACTATAAATGCAAGCGGCTTATTTATTTTTTCTACTTTGGCATCAAAAAAGAATACTCAATTTCAACAATCCCTTCATAAAGATATGAAATATTTGAAAGGAATTGAAGAGCTATCATGGAATGATAGAAAAAATATCGGAGGTAGCCTTCCTGGAAACAGATGAAAACTGTAAACAATCAGTATTTCAGAATATATTATGAGAAGGAAAAGACTAAAGAACTTGGTGACAATTAGATTGATGGAAAAAGAGCAAGTGGAAAAGAAAGAGATAAATACCTGGATGGCTTGGCAGGACAAAAGCAATGACTTGATCCATGTTTATGGTGATCATGTGAGGTGATGAACCCTGCTAGCCTGTACGTATCTGCAAGAAACATTGTGATGATGCTTCATTTAAAAAAACTAATAATTATAATGTTATTGTAATCGATATTGGATATCAGTCTGTACAGTTGTTTCAGTTTTCATTCAAAGTTATGTCTTCTCCATCACCAGGACAGACCAATGAATCTTTGTTACACAATAACTGAACCACCTAAAACCAAGTCTGGACAGTTCTTCAAGAAAACACAGTTGGTCAACAAACAGTCTGATGTTTGCCACATCCATGCAGCATCACCAGCAGACAAAGAATCGCACCCAGAAAGCAAACTTTCAAATTTGACAATGTGCTCTTCAGAAGATGACCTGTCATCTTTAGCCATCTCGACATCTGATGTTGTTCTCACGCCTACCAGTGATACTAATGCCTCAAAATCTACATCTTCGTCACCAGTGTCAGAGGTAATGACACCATTGTCAGCAGAATTACCTGTTACTGGAGCGTCACTCTCCAGCAGGTCTGCAGTTCCGTGTAATGACGCCACAAGAACAACCACGCCTTCTGCCTGTATTAATGCTAGCAGCACATTATCAAATAATAAGCTATCAGAAGCTGCAGTCCATCCTCATGAAGTCAGCAGTGCTACATCTTTACAACCTCCGCCATTTGGCTCTTATGTTTCAAAACAGCCAGAGCCAACACTTGTACTGGGCTCATCAACAAATAACAAATCACAGTCCAAGCCTGGAACAGCTAAACAGGAAATCAGTAAGCTAATGCATAGTGTCGAATCCATCTTAAGTAAGACTCCTAAAACAAATCATCGCAAAAGCAAAAATAAAACACTCACTTGGACCCCGGCTTGTGAAGTTCTTGCGGCTTCTAGTAATCTTTGCAAGGATAAAAATGGCAAAACCGCTAGTAAAAATGTTAAATATAAACTTGAGGTTAATTTGAGTGAACTTCCAAAATGTTCAGTAGCCAGTGACAGTCATACTAGTAAGAATGTAGATCATCTAATCTTGGGGTTTAAAAGATCACAAAGTGTCATAGAAACTTCTGGAGCAGTAGTTGAAGGTCAAGGACAGAAGTCACAGGAAGTTGTCAGCAACAGCCAGCCTCTCAGTGGAGATGCACTGTGTCAAACAGAGGCTACAACTGATATTTTCTTTTCTTACATTCCAAAATTTCAGAAACACAGAAAGCTGTATGCTGTGAAAAGATCGGTGTCATATGAAGGCCCCTCAGAAATGCCTGTTCTTGCAGTAGCCACTTCTGATGCCATGGAGAAACGCAACTGGAAGAAAAGGAAGCTGTCAACATTAGATTTTGATTCATCAAAAGTCACAGCTGTTGAAAGTTGTTCTCCTACCTCAGATAATGTGGTCTCAGCAGTAGAAGTAGATTCGGTCAGTTATAATCGTCACAGCTCTGAAGATACAACAAATAGATCTGGACCAGCTATAGCTGTGCCTCCAGATAATGCAAAGAACTCACCACAGTTAACTTCTCACAACAGCGTTGTGTCAACCTCCGCTTCTTACAAAATTCCTTCTGCAGACACTTCTATGCCTGTATTGCTACCCCAAGAGAATCCCATAGTAGGCTTTCAAGAAAAACCTCAGTCAGATAATTGTTTACTAGATCCCAAAGTGAAAATTTCTCGAAAGTCAAACCATACACCATGCACCAACTCCACATCCACAAACAAAAGCAGCAGAACATCACATGATCAGAAAACCAGTGACTCTTCACACGTGAGTAAGGTAAGTAAAAGCAAGAAACAGTCACGGGTTGTTGACTCTGATGGTGAATCTTCCAAAGCATACATCAACAAGAAATCCCTTGGATATATTATGAACAAATCTGTGAGTAATAACTGTGTTAATGGGAGTGTTAATGAGAATGCTCAGAGGTCTTCCAGTAGCAAATCTGTGGAGGAAATCTCTGTTGACATCTGTAGTAGCCCTGTGGAAGTATCTGTCACCTATCCAACTCCATATGTAACCTCTCCTGGAACAGAAGATCGAACGGATAACTTAACTTTACCAGAGATTCAGACTCAGTGTGTGAACAGTTGTGTAGTGAACTTCCCAGCGAAGATTGTGCCTTTGGATTTATCCAGCAGAAAGAAGAAGTAACCTCCGTTGTCACTTGGAATATTTCTGAAGATTATGTGGTTGCTGGAGATTTTAACTCCTTTGGGTGCCGCGTTAGCACAGCTGATAGGAGGCTCGCTTTCAAATCCAGCTGCGACTCGCTGTAGCCACGGTCGGTGTTCGAAACCGGGCGGTTCCCGGGGTTTACCCAGCCTCTAGGAAATGGGTACCAGAGTTGACACTCTGGGGTAAATGGAGGAACGTCGCTGTAGCTACAGAGTTACGTGCGAACGGCGACACAGGCGGACAGTTTATCAGCTGCCCGTACTGGTGGCATAGCACTTATGGTTTATAACCTCAGCAATGACGCTGCTTCACATCTCCCGACTTTACCTTTACCTTTTACCTTTAACTCCTTGGCTCCCAAACTTGTGTAACTTTAACTCATTCAGTCCTAACACATTGTTACTTTAACTAATAAATAGATCTTCATGTGTTAATCCTTTTACTACAGAAACCCTTAGGAGAAGAAAAAATCATTTCACTAATACATTTTACAGAGATTTGTTGAAGGGGCATGATGATAAACATGTGCAAAGTGAAGAATTGAACAACTACATTTCTTTTGGTGGAAAATATCAAGGGGCGACACATATCATGGCCTCGTTAATGCAGTTATGAAATGTTTAGAAAGAATCATGATTTCATCATGCCTTTAAACAAAAAAATTGTTATCCAGTTAAGCTGCCAGTTTGACTGAGCCTTAACTCTTTCAGTTGACTCAGCCTTCAACTCTTCCTGTTAACTCAGCCTTAACTTTTCTGTTAACTGCTGATTGTTTCTGCTGATTGACTCAGCTTTAACTCTTTTAGTTGACCCACCCACAATCTTTCACTTATCTCAGCCTTGACTTCAGTTTACATAACCTCTTTCAGTCCCCTACAGCTCTACTTTAAAACAGTGTTTGTACTTGAAGGATTCGACAGTGATAATACTGGGGCAGGATAGGAGACGTTAACGTTAAGGATTAGCTGTATTACTGTACCAGCCCTATAGGACAAGATGGCTCCAAGCATATTTTCTTTGGACAAGCCAGTCAACATATAATTTGTTGTTTGATACGGAAAGGGTTCAGTGGATACCAGGTAAGGTTTTTAACAGTAAGTGGCATCCATATTGACAGTAATAGCTACCAAGTGCCATGTGGTTCTTGTTCTTGTTCTTTTTCTTCCTCCGCCTCCTTCTAGCGTTCGCTAGCTGTTAACTTTAGTGGAAAGTTCTGGTTATTTTCTGAACTTTGAGCTATTTCCAGACATTGATGCATGTTTTTTTTTTAAAACAGATCTAGCTTATTTGTATGCAGACTGTTGGTTCCTTGCCTCTTGTGCAACTGCATTCTGACATTGAAGGGGACACATGTAATTAGTCGCCTTTTATGACATTGTTTGTTAGGTACGACACTTTGTTAGGGAGTCAAAGTGCCTTTTCTTATTGTTCACAAGAATGGGTCCCTGGAACCCACACTGGAAAAGTGAACTCCAATACGAAGAGGTACAGAAAGGGCTAAGTTGATGCTATGCAACATTTTGCGCACTATAGGCATTATATTGACCATAAAAGCCGTCGAGTGGCAGTTTGTTTTTAAAAATGCTAGATTTGAGTTTTCAGCTTTGCCCAGGATAGTCTATGAAAGCGTCATTTCCCATCGTCTGCTTCATCTTTGGGGACCACTGGTTGCCGTCCCTGCAACGAGGATCATGCCCGCGTTATTCTGAAAAGGCTCGAGTGCGTGGTCGAATGGTGTGGCATGTAGTTCAAACCGCAGAAAGCTTATAGTTTGTCAGTCTTCGGTAAGCAAGACTGCAGTGGAGACTATGGAGAGAAAAATCAACCCCGCCATGAGGAAAGTGGCTTGGAGCACTACCTTGTCAGGCCAATGTGGCCGTGTATTGTAAGCAGGCTAAGCTGGTACTTCCGTTCAAATCAGAAACCGAAGAGTTGAAAGTCGGCAAGTTCAGTAATGTTACGCGAGTCTTCAGACCCCACAATGGCAGCTGTCCAGCGCGCTCTAAAGACTGGTCCGAAATGGAAGGTCCTAGATGCGAAATAATCTGCTCAGTGAGACCAGACACTGTCCTGCACTCTGCTGAAAAACGCTAGCACGTCGTGATAGAGCTGACCGTACGAGTCGCGGATGGAAGAAAATTACCAGTACAAGCTCGAAAAGTACGATGATCTGGTGACCTGTCTGAGGAGAGATGAAGCGTACACAATAAAAATCTTCGCCGTCGAGGAAGACGCAAAGCTCCATTTTCGCATATAGTGTACTAACCTGGACTTACGAATAAAAGGGCGTTAAAACAACTGGATGAAGCTGCGGAAAGAGCTTCGAGTTGGCTGTGGGCACAACGGAACCTCTTGGGGGATGGGCTTCGGTAGATTTGTCCTAGAATCTAGTAGAAAAGAGTGTTCATCCCTAAAAGCCAGAGAGCCGGAAAAATATCCGCCAGTGTTTATCTGTCGATCGCCAAAGTCTACCAACTGTCCGATGAACCCAATCTCACAATACCTGATGCAAAGCCACTATTTCGTATTGTCCCAGTCCGAACGTCCGTTAAAGTGATGCAGGGAAAGATCGAGGTCTGGCGTCATGAACCAGGTCGGCCCACCTTCCGAGATTGTGTAGGAAGTTATGGGCGGAAACAATGGTCGTCGAGGGATCTTTCTACTGATGATCGGTAGGCCACTGCTGTGCGTGCTCTCCTGTGTTCTAATTATTATTGTTGTCTCCGCCGTCGTGTTATGTTTATTCATTGCTCTGAGGCGCCTACTGTCCCCCTCGCCCTACTCCAAATTTGACTAACAAAGCTGCCACCCCTCCACTCCATCCCTCCTCGACTGCAGTAGCTCCGACTTTGGGAAACTCGGATCTACAACTATATTATCATTAGACATTGCAACCAGAATAACATCTATCAGTTTCACCCTTCTTCTGGTAACCGTTTGCGATGAATTCTTGTGCCAGATCACAGACACATGCATTTCGCAGTTTATAATATAAGAGAAGGCTAGTAAACATTTACCATGTTTGTCTCAAGGGATAGGATAAGGTGTTTTATACTCTATCAGTAAAGGGATCATGTTTTTGTTGGTTTTTTAACCTATAATCATGAGTATTGGATGCAGCCAAAGCTGCTAGGTGTTATGCTTGGTGTGTCTGTTATTTACTGTTGATTCTTATCTTTTAGCCTACTTGCGACTGTGTGATATGCAGTTTGTAATCTGCTTACAAAGTAATGAGCATATATATATATATATATATATATATATATATATATATATATATATATATATATATATATATGTAAGAACAAGCAGTGGCCAGACAGCCCTGTAGCTGTGAGGATATGCTTGCTGTGCCCTGCAGTGACCTGAACTACACGAGCAGGGTTGCTTTGTAAACTTGGAGAAACTCGTTACCTGATTCTGCCGTGAGTAAAAAAGAGCAAAACAGTTTTGTATCCAGGAGTTGGTCATCATACTTCATCAAGCTGTGAACTTCTTTTCTTCTTTTCCCGTCTCACTGATACCAGGTTATAACCTAGTGTCGTGGTTTTATGTATTTGTCCTATACTTCTCGGCTGGCTTGGGTGATTTTTATTCAGGTTTTTGAAATCAGGTTGCCGACCAGAGCACTAGCTGATGTGATAAAAACAGTGGTGTTCTCGGGCGATACAGACAACAGTGCACCACACGCTGAAGAATTTGCTCTAATGATATCTAAATAGGCAGAGTGGTAGAGTGATGTGATTTCATGTTACCGTTGATTCGAGAACAAATCAGTTACGGAGGAATTTTACAACCAAAGTCCTATAGGTACACACTGTAACGGCATTAACCAAATGTTTATTGGCGGCCAGTCTTTATGAGACTTATAAACACTGGTTGTAAATCGGTCGTGGGAAAAGCGTTATCTTTAGGGTCATGAATGAATGTGCGGAAAATAGTTATACTCTAAACATTATATCCTTGTTATTGTGTCTGATCTCTCCGAACATGTTACAAGTTGTTAGAATATTATATATATATATATATATTCCAAGTGTGTCGTAATTTTGGCTGATTTGCACTTTTCAAAATATATATAATATATATTTTTTTTCCAAGTGTGTCGTAATTTTGCTGATTTTGCCACTTTTCAAATGTAGACAATTTGTTGTTGTTGGCACTTTTCCGTCTTTCCAGACGACAGTGTTATATTGTACTACAAAGAGGCATGGGAATCACAGCCCATGGCGGTGGCGACTGTGACTAGCAAGACCCAGACACGATAAGAACAGTCTTCCATAGTTAGAGCACGGGATTTCACTAGCATGGGATTTCACTAGCATGGGATTTCACTAGCATGGGATTTCACTAGCGTTGTTGCTGTCACGTGTATTTATTGTAATTCCTCTTGAACGCTCAGTTGTGAAGCTTTCAGCAATGCAACGACATTTTTAGTTTGTAAATATCTTTTCTGGCTGTGAATGGCAAAACGAAACCAACTTACAATTTTTTTCGGTATTCTAGCTGAGAACTAGATGTCTGGTAAAGTCGACTATATAAACTTGAGGGAAAAAAATTAAACTTTTTCGCGGACACACAAAATAGCAATAACTGTTCGAATATGTGCTGTCACTTCCGACAGTAAGAACGTGTACTGGTGCCACTTCATGTGTCTATCTTCTACCTAATGAGCCTGTCAGCGTACTCGAGGTTGAATGTTACCTCGTCTGGTTGATTTCTTTTCCTTGCCTCACAACAATGGGGATGATAATGATAAGTTGTTTTTTTTTTTTTTTTTTTTGGGTGGGGGGGGGGGGGTGTCCATCACTTTCTGACGAATTCTTGTAAGTTTATGTGATTTACCCCACTTTGTGTGTGTGTGTGTGTGTGGGGGGGGGGTGGTTCGGTCATCTGGTCATATGGAACTGGAACACACTCAGTTTCTGGGACAAGACTGCAGTCCAGAGGTGGTGAAACAACCAGAACCGTCCGCC